TCCGTGTTCTCCGTGTGTTTTCTGTGGCAGGAAGCTAACCAGATTTTGCATTTAAACAATGAATAATGAAATCTTTTTTCTGCGAAATTTTGATGATTTCGTTTGCTCTTATTTGTAATACATGTCTGACTTCCAGCCTCTTCTTGAAAGTCTCATGTATAGCATTTTATTGCGCCCTGACGAAAACCCCTTGAGTGGAAACGTCAGGCCATCATTGATTCGACAGGATCAGGTTTACACCCGGCTGTGTTTGCCCGGAATTATGCTTCTTTGATCCAGCTACAGTCATTTTTACGATTATATTTGTGCCCACTTCTGCCTTGTATTTAGGGCACTCAGGAGTTGACATGCCTCCTCGACAACACATCGGCCTGGTATTAAATTTAGGCGAGATGTGCCTGTTGGGTGCGCACTGGATGGCACTGACAAAGAAACCGGCGAGGTGAGATAAGATAATGCAAGGTAGAGTACTGGCACGGACGTTCCACGACTTCTGGGACGGGTCGTAAAGGGACCAGCAGACGGCAGTAGCAACCATAAGTGTGTTTGCCTTGTCTGGAGAAGCGACAGCAGTGAGCTCATCTCTGAAACTGTGCAAACATGCCATTTCCTGTTCTCAATAGCTGGGGTTGGCCGGGGCTCAGAACATAAACGTTCAAGTGTACACAAGCTGTTTTAATTGTCCTGGAAGAATCTCGCTTTTTTAGGGTAGTTAATTTTTCTGTTGTCTTCTTTCTCCTTTTGTCCTGTTTTCAATTTTTTTTTTAATGTTTGGTGAATAAAATCTGGGTAGCTGCAGTCGAGTTGATAACGAAGGAGGTCAGTGAAAGGAAAACAAAGGCATACACAGATGCGAGCGAATGTTTCGGTTATTGTCTGTATCAGACAAAGACATGAATTCTTAAGTAGACACAGGACACAAGGAAACTGTCTGTATGTTATAAACGATCAGCTAGTCACAAACACATATGGTACTGATGGACTGTTGGGTGGACAGAGAGGAGAGACCGATGAGCGGATAGATACATTGATGATGTATGGCAGATAGACTGGCCTGTTCTGCACCGTTTGGTGGTGAATTGATGTATGACAAGCTAGACGTTGTGAGGGCCCTCTGGGAGCGAGTGAACAGTGCGGAAGCTCAAATAGATCATTACGGTCTGAGGAGAATGGTGCTGCGAGGAGTCACTAGTGGATCTGGCCGACGCTCAACACTCATTGTTAGGGCGAGACGGATATACAATCAAACGGTTACTGGTGCCATCGGAATTGGAACACTTCGTTTGCAGCTGAAGATGGGGACGGGGCGCTTATGGGGGTGTCCCGAGTACTGTGATGTTGATTCTTAATTCAAAATTGATGGATGGTTTGATGGAAGGAGAGTGGGGATAAGACGAGATGGATGGGTGAATGGAGAAAGTTAGAGAGGGATGGATGAGTGGATGGGGAGAGAGAGGGGGAAATGTGGACGAATCGATGGTGCGATGGATAAATGCAGCGACATACATTCAGATCAGTGGTCGGTAGGGGTCGGTATGTAGATACATACCTAAGTACAAGGTAGGCAGATGAGCTAGCAGGCAGGCAGATGAGCTAGCAGTCAGACAGACAGATGAGCTAGCAGTCAGACAGGCAGATGAGCTAGCAGTCAGACAGGCAGATGAGCTAGCAGTCAGACAGACAGATGAGCTAGCAGTCAGACAGGCAGATGAGCTAGCAGTCAGACAGGCAGATGAGCTAGCAGTCAGACAGGCAGAATAGCTAGCAGTCAGACAGGCAGATGAGCTAGCAGTCAGACAGGCAGAATAGCTAGCAGTCAGACAGGCAGATGAGCTAGCAGACAGGCAGATGAGCTAGCAGACAGACAGGCAGATGAGCTAGCAGACAGGCAGATGAGCTAGCAGACAGGCAGATGAGCTAGCAGACAGGCAGATGAGCTAGCAGACAGGCAGATGAGCTAGCAGACAGGCAGATGAGCTAGCAGACAGGCAGATGAGCTAGCAGTCAGACAGGCAGATGAGCTAGCAGTCAGACAGGCAGATGAGCTAGCAGTCAGACATGCAGATGAGCTAGCAGTCAGACAGGCAGATGAGCTAGCAGACCGGCAGATGAGCTAGCAGTCAGACAGGCAGAATAGCTAGCAGTCAGACAGGCAGATGAGCTAGCAGTCAGACAGGCAGATGAGCTAGCAGTCAGACAGGCAGATGAGCTAGCAGTCAGACAGGCAGATGAGCTAGCAGTCAGACAGGCAGATGAGCTAGCAGTCAGACAGGCAGATGAGCTAGCAGTCAGACAGGCAGATGAGCTAGCAGTCAGACAGGCAGATGAGCTAGCAGTCAGACAGGCAGATGAGCTAGCAGTCAGACAGGCAGATGAGCTAGCAGTCAGACATGCAGATGAGCTAGCAGTCAGACAGGCAGATGAGCTAGCAGTCAGACAGACAGATGAGCTAGCAGTCAGACAGGCAGATGAGCTAGCAGTCAGACAGACAGATGAGCTAGCAGTCAGACAGACAGATGAGCTAGCAGTCAGACAGGCAGAGGGTGCATATACACTGAATAATGACAAATAAAAATGGAAGACCACAAAGCACTTCAACTCAATAAAAATATAAATATTTTTTCTTTATTTATAAAAAGAGGACACCCACACATTTTTAGCAGTCAGTTTGTACCGCATTGACAAAGCCCTCTACCGACCTCCCCCCCACTCAGTGTACCGCATTGACAAAGCCCTCTACCGACCTCCCCCAACTCAGTGTACCGCATTGACAAAGCCCTCTACCGACCTCCCCCCACTCAGTGTACCGCATTGACCCCACACCCCACCCCCCCCCCCTCCCCCCCCCCCCCCCCCCCCCTCTACCCCCCCCCACCCCCCTCCCCCCCACCCCCCCCCCCCCCCCCCCCCCCCCACTCAGTGTACCGCATTGACAAAGCCCTCTACCGACCTCCCCCACTCAGTGTACCGCATTGACAAAGCCCTCTACCGACCTCCCCCCACTTATTGTGCCCCAGTATCTCCCAATAAACCAATATCTCCCGTATCAGCTTACAGAGAATGATCCCCAACAAGAAATCTATTCGGTCATTATAAATGATTAATATCACCGCTTCTTTTTTGATCCGGCTTTTTATCAGACCTTCCTTTTGTCAACACCAGAGACACTAGCAACGGCTGGCCGTTATCTTGAGGTCGATCCCGCCCCCGTGGGATGAGTTGGTAAGGTTGACTGCCACCACACAATTGTGGCCAGGTTTCAGGAAATGCTGTTTATTAACTTGTAAAAATAAAAATGAAACTTGCACTTGTGAGATCATTGGGTGCGTGTGGTGACCTGTTCCAATCGCTCCACATCCCGCACCCCCCTACAGAATATTGAGTTGTCCTGGCAGGGGCCATAAGCATCCACACTCTTTGATCTCTGCATGACTTATGGTCAATATGTATGATAGGTTGGTTTACTGTTTTTAGCTGTAGCAATGGGGTTTTTTTTTTTTTTTAATCCTGAAAATAGTTGGCCATTGCATTTTCATCCATGTGTAGACTGAAAGGATGTAGTTTCATCGCCTAGCTACTGAGCTGAGTGTATGGTGTGACACTGTGAGCTGCTGAAATTCACTTAGAATATTTTTCGACTGTGCCCAGGGTGGTTCTTGTTGTGAACTGTAAATTCAGAAGGCGAGTGACCTGTCGGCTAGTGCTGCTTTAAGTGATTTATCGTGTGCGCGGCTAGTGATCTGTTGTAACGGCTGCTTTCTTCGATGACGAACGGCATTTCTAGTGTCAGACTGTTTGTGTTGGCACTTCTAACGGCCGTCTTATACATTTAATGCTTCTATATGCTACTGGATTTGCCTAGACTGTAGTATGTGTCAGTTTTTTATTTCCACAATGCATAGTGGTGGAGGTAGTTGTTGTTCCCACAAGGCGAAGTGGTGGAGGTTCTGTGTGGTCCTGTTTGCTGTACAGTTTGTACTGCGATAACCCAATTATTGTAACTTTAAACTGAGATTCCATGTAATGGTGTAAGGGAACTGTAACACCCAACTGGGATTACATGTAATAATGTAAAGGAACAGTAACAATCAACTGAGATTCCGTGTAATGGTGTAACAGAACTGTAACATTCAACTATGATTGTCTGTAATGGTGTAACAGAACTGTAACAATCAACTATGATTGTCTGTAATGGTGTAAGGGAACTGTAACACTCGACTGGGATTCCATGTAATGGTGTAAGGGAACTGTAACACTCGACTAGGATTTCATGTAATGGTGTAAGGGAACTGTAACACTCGACTAGGATTTCATGTAATGGTGTAAGGGAACTGTAACACTCAACTATGATTGTCTGTAATGGTGTAAGGGAACTGTAACACTCAACTATGATTGTCTGTAATGGTGTAAGGGAACTGTAACACTCAACTATGATTGTCTGTAATGGTGTAAGGGAACTGTAACACTCAACTATGATTGTCTGTAATGGTGTAAGGGAACTGTAACACTCAACTATGATTGCTGTAATGGTGTAAGGGAACTGTAACACTCAACTATGATTGTCTGTAATGGTGTAAGGGAACTGTAACACTCAACTATGATTGTCTGTAATGGTGTAAGGGAACTGTAACACTCGACTGGGATTTCATGTAATGGTGTAAGGGAACTGTAACACTCAACTAGGATTTCATGTAATGGTGTAAGGGAACTGTAACACTCGACTAGGATTTCATGTAATGGTGTAAGGGAACTGTAACACTCGACTAGGATTTCATGTAATGGTGTAAGGGAACTGTAACACTCAACTAGGATTTCATGCAATGGTGTAAGGGAACTGTAACACTCGACTAGGATTTCATGTAATGGTGTAAGGGAACTGTAACACTCGACTAGGATTTCATGTAATGGTGTAAGGGAACTGTAACACTCGACTAGGATTTCATGTAATGGTGTTAGGGAACTGTAAAACTCAACTATGATTCTCTGTAATTTGTCTACAGGTGAGCCAAGTTATTCTTGTCCCAGCTGTGGCGAGGTGTTCAGGTCCAAGGTGGCGGTGCGACGTCACCAGACCTACAGCTGCAGCAACGCCGTCTCCCCCTACAGCAGCCTCAAGGAGCAGATGGGCCTGACCCACAACAACCTGGTGGCCAGTAGCGGCATGCTGAGCTCTGCCACCGCCACCAGCGAGGGCAGAGTGCCAGGAGGCAGCAGCAACGACGGAAGTAGTTACGTCAGCAACGGTGCAGACAGTGATGGCAACAAAAGGTAGGTGTTTCTTCCGCTATATTTTCCATCAAACATGTGATTTGTTTCTTGTCCACATAAGTTCGTGTATGGGTGTATGTGTGTGATGTTATCTCTGTGTGTCGTGCATATTTTTTTTCAACATGAAACAACTTGAGGAAAGAAAAAGGCATTTAATGCAATCTGACCTTGGAGAGAGAAAAAGGATAATCTAGAGACCGCACAAAATTGTCTATCCTTCTACTCCCCTCCCCCTCCCACTCAACTGCCTGGTCTCACAATCAAGCCCGCAAGTAGAAACATCTTGTCTCCGCCCTTGCTTTCATGACCCCGTGTGACCTCACAGGGAAACATTAAGTTCCTGTGTGGATTACACCAGGCATTCAATAAACCTTTTAACCGGATTCAAAACCAGAGTTCACGAAGGTTGCAAATCAGAATGTCTCACCTGCTACCTGTAGATACTGTCTCCGTGGACATTTCCCGCACTCCCAACTGCACTCTAACAATGAGACACGTCCCGAACTGCCAACTGCACTCCAACAGACAAGTCCCGAACTGCCAGCTGCACTCTAACAATGAGACAAGTCCCGAACTGCCAACTGCACTCCAACAATGAGACAAAACACATTGGATCAATCGTTCATGTCTAGATTACTTCTGTGAGAAATCGTCCCTGATAACCAATCTTGGCAACATTCTTTAGATGTCTTCTGTTGAACTTTGCTTATCACCCAACGTGGTCTCCCCCCCCCCCCCGCGCCCCCACCCCCGTTCCCCCTCTTTTTTTTCAGCCAGAGTGGAAAATGACAAGGAAAAGACACTTGAAAACGTCAATAGGTTTCCTTACCAAAGACAGTTTATAACGGGCAATGGCATTCGTGAGACACAAAGGAAGATAACAGAAGTGGGCAATAAAATATTCATCAACGTAAAACTGTTCCCCACATATCCACGGTTAGGGGCTAGAACTTAAGTGTAGGTTCGAAGGTTTCATTTGTAAAGAGTGGCGAAGTGAGTACAGGACTCATCGTTCATTAATAACTGTGTCTTAAAAGGCAGGTAATCAGGTACGTCCGGTACGAAGTCGCAGATGCTGCAGCTTAGCTGTAAACCACACCAGACCGTGCAAGCTGCCCTTTTAAGAAGGAACGCAGAAGAAAACGACACACTTCCATGGTTGTCAGAAGAAAACGACACACTTCCATGGTTGTCATCGGTCATTCGGACCAAATATAACACGACTGAAGATTTCATGACTAGCATTCAAGTGTCGCATTTAGAAGCTGCCACCGGTCGGCTTGTGTGGCTGTGTGAGATCGCTGGCTATCTGGTATGCCATTAACGTGAGCAAGGCATTCAAAAGGTGTTAAATGAAAAGTCCATGTTAAGTGGGTTAATATGTTAAGCTGGCTGCTGAGTAAGGAGACGAAGCACGTGTGTGAATGTCCCAAGTGCAGTGATGTCAGTTCGTTATTTATTCATGTATTCATTCATTCATAACATCAGTAATCTTGCGCCACCTGAAATGGCCTCCAAAACAAATCACCTCGATGTTAGTAATATCTTTTTATAGAGGCTCAATGATTGGCCCTACTAACCAAGTTTGGTGCCCAGTTGATGGTTGAAGCCATAAGTTCGTTCCTTCGAAATCGGAGTGCATTTGCCTGAGAGACGTGGAACTAACCAATAATCTGCACACAGTAATGCCAGATATGTAAAACAGAAATGCATACAACACTCAAGTGCTGAAACAATAACATCCATAAGTGGACGAGCAGCCAGGACTTTCCGCTAGAGTTTACAGTCAGTGAATAAAGAAGAAAAAAGACTGAAGAAGAAGAGGATAACACAAAACAATATTACAGGAGCACGTTACACACACACACACACACACACACACACACACACACACACACACACACACGCCGTAGTCAACATGAAAGACACCCAAGCCAGTGACACAGGATCCCTACAGTTCATTACTTATCAAAGAACAAAAACATTTTTAAAGATTAGAGCGTTTGCGTGGATCGAAATCGGATCTTCTGTCTCTGACACTTTCTGTAAATGTTCGATATCAATGCCTTGTCCCTGACAGAAACCTAAGGCCAAGGAAGAATCGACAGTCAGGAGACTTGAATGCCGCTCCTAAAATAATCATAAAAATCTGTTTATCTTTAGATCGCATCTTTAATGCTGGCATTGAAAACTATTGATTATTTATGATGGGCGCGATCGATTCATCAATAAAGTGTATTGTAATCACAGAAGCCCAAGTGATATGCTCGATAATGCCCGGTCTGACGGTGTGGAGAAATATAGTTGTATCGATTCCTGCTAGGCTGCGGCAGTGTCTACCAGATAGGGGGTCGGAGGGTTAGGGTTAAGGATTTGAGAGGGAAGGTGTGTGTTTGTGTATGTGTGTGGGGGAGGGGCGGGGGAGGTGTCCAGTGACGTGAGGATGTGTGTGAGGGGAAGGTGTCAAGTGAGGATGAGGGTTTGTGTGACGGGAAGATGTCAAGTGAAGATGAGGGTTTGTGTGAGGGGAAGATGTCAAGTGAGGATGAGGGTTTGTGTGAGGGGAAGATGTCAAGTGAGGATGAGGGTTTGTGTGAGGGGAAGATGTCAAGTGAGGATGAGGGTTTGTGTGAGGGTAAGGTGTCAAGTGAGGATGAGGGTTTGTGTGAGGGGAAGATGTCAAGTGAGGATGAGGGTTTGTGTGAGGGGAAGATGTTAAGAGAGTGGGGGGGGGGGGGGTTAGACGAGGGGAAAGATTTGTGTTAAGGAATGTTAAGGCAGGCGGAAATTGAGTGGTGACGCATACAAAATAGGTGGAAGATATGTATATGTGTGGGGGGGGGGGGGGGGGCGCTTGAAGATTTCTGAGAGAAACATGTATGTATTAATAGAAAACGTTTGTGTGAGGGAGTGGACGTTGATGGCAAAATATGGCTGCTGAAAAAAATAGCCACCGCATCAAGTACAGTTGTCTCTAACTGTACCCTATCAAGTACATGTGGTGGCAGTACACATTTCACAGCTGTACTTCAGCCTCCGGGAGCCATTGTGGTGTAGCGGCTAGACTCTCGCCTACAGATCTGAAGCTCGTGGGTTCAGACCCTGACAGAGCCGGACTTTTGTCTAAATGACTTGGGTTCCCAGGTCGACCCAACCTAAGTGGGTAGCAGGTAAAGTCCTGGGAAGTAAAGGCGACCAGCGTAGTGTTGACCACATCACCCACCTAGTGCTGATTGGTGTAAAAAATATAGGTCTAGCCCTATATGCCCAGTGCGCATGAAGACGGACTTGCGCATTCACGTGACCGCAATAAAAGTCCGACTGTAGCGCCACCACTGACAGGAAATCACAAATCGGAACTAACAAACTTCTCTCAATTCCCAGTTGAGTTGAGTCCAGAATCGACATCACAGCACTCGGGGCATTCCCATGCGTGCTCCGTCTTCATAACCTTGTTCTGAGATGCTAGTAGTCGTGTCTTCCCACTGCCTTCTGTTTCCTATAGTTTCAATCATTTCTGACAATGGTGGTCTTCCATAGCTTGATGTCAAACTGTTCAGCCTCCCCCCCCCCCTGTCTCTCTCTCTCTCTCTCTCTCTCTCTCTCTCTCTCTCTCTCTCTCTCTCTCTCTCTCTCTCTCTCTCTCTCTCTCGGGTACAGTCTTCCCCAGTTATCCCTTCTCTCAGCATTAACACATGTCAGTGTTCTCATTGGAATCAGTTCTTTTCGTGAGTCTATTTTGCATTGTTTTTCTGTTCACGATGTTCTTAATATTTACGTACAGAGCCACAGCTTTGCTGCTTCTATCAGTGTAGCGATTTTAAAAAAAATCCACATTAATCATCATCAATATCAAAGATAAACAATGGGGGAGGGGTTGGGTGGCAGTAACATCTTCTTCTTCTTCTTCTTCGTCGTCTTCTTCTTCTTCTTCTTCTTCTTCTTCTTCTTCTTCTTCTTCTTCTTCTTCTTCTTCTTTTTTTTTCTTCTTCTTCTTCTTCTTCTTCTTCTTCTTCTTCTTCTTCTTCTTCTTCTTCTTCTTCTTCTTCTTCTTCTTCTTCTTCTTCTTCTTTTTCTTCTTCTTCGTCTTTTTCTTCGTCTTCTTCTTCTTTTTCTTCTTCTTTCCAGACCTGTTCTACCTTTCAGCGTCAGGTTATGAAAAGGAATGAAGAGCGCTCCTTGCTCTGTGCTGCGCTGATGCTAGGATTAATGGTTCCAGATATTCAGTAACATCGCACTCAGTTTGCACATATCATAACTTATCGATCTGGACCAGTCATGTATCAGCGCTGCTCCCGTGTATAATACCCTGCCTGGAGAACTGATCTGGAAATACTTCTTCACCAAATCTCCATCTATGATGTATTTAAAAAACAGCTGTCATCGATCCAGTTCTGGTGATGAAGCGGTAAAAGAAATATTCTGGCATTCAACTGAACAATTTCCCATGATGTGACATAAAGAGCTGGAGATTTATTGTTCTTTATTATCTCTGCATCTCCCACAAGGTTTCCGGAACTCCATCTTGGATCAAAAGAAGGAAATCTCCATGTCCATAAAGGCGCATTGTTAGAAGATCTTTTTTACAATATTTTTTTTTATCACCTAGTTTAATGTGTGCTGTATGCAGAGGAGAGGTTTAACAGGAGACTTTGAATGATTAAGACATTACTGGGCGTTTCGGTGATTTTTCTGTTTCCTAACTGATATATAGATCAAGCTGGCCAGATTTTGTTGAAAACTCTGCCAAGCGACAGTTATTTTGACATTGAAAATTAAGTTACAACTTTGGCGTTATATCATTTTGATGGTCAAAAAAGCCGGCCTCTTGTTTACCATTTGTGTTGACGAGCAAACAGAGAGCTGCAGTGGAGGCTAAACATTTATTCTGTTGTTCGCTGTCTTCCTCAGTAGGTCATGATAACGAAATTGTACTAGATAAGCGCTTTGGTGTCGTTTACACAGCATGTTGGACTTCTTTTTGTTGACATCTGTTTGAAAGATGAACACCTCGGCGCGATTGGGGTCTACACTGAATGGTGCATTCTCCTTTCCGCACCCCAGTCTTGGTTGAATAAGCTGCTTCACTGGACTGGGGCCGTCTGACCATCAAATGAGTGTATTCAACCCTGAACAGAACCAATGAATGCTAATACATAATTTCTTCTTCTGTTAAATACATCTCCTTTAATTCTTCTCACTCATTCGCTCATTGTATCACTCACTCTTTGCCTAACTGGTTCCGCGTTCATTCACTCATCCAGTCTCCCATGCATTAATTCACTTACTCACTACCCTATTCACTCACTCACTACCCTATTCACTCACTCACTACCCTATTTACTCACTCACTACCCTATTCACTCACTCACTACCCTATTTACTCACTCACTACCCTATTTACTCACTCACTACCCTATTCACTCACTCACTACCCTATTCACTCACTCACTACCCTATTAACTCACTCATTACCCTATTCACTCACTCACTACCCTATTCACTCACTCACTACCCTATTGACTCACTCTCTACCCTATTCACTCACTTACTACCCTATTCACTCACTCACTACCCTATTCACTCACTCACTACCCTATTTACTCACTCACTACCCTATTCACTCACTCACTACCCTATTCACTCACTCACTACCCTATTCACTCACTCACTACCCTATTCACTCACTCACTACCCTATTGACTCACTCTCTACCCTATTCACTCATTCACTACCATATTCACTCACTCACTACCCTATTCACTCACTCACTACCCTATTCACTCACTCACTACCCTATTTACTCACTCACTACCCTATTTACTCACTCACTACCCTATTCACTCACTCACTACCCTATTCACTCACTCACTACCCTATTTACTCACTCACTACCCTATTTACTCACTCACTACCATATTCACTCACTCACTACCCTATTCACTCACTCACTACCCTATTTACTCACTCACTATCCTATTCACTCACTCACTATCCTATTCACTCACTCACTACCCTATTCACTCACTCACTACCCTATTCACTCACTCACTACCCCTATTTCACTCACTCACTAACCCTATTTCATTCACTCACTACCCTATTTACTCACTCACTACCCTATTCACTCACTCACTACCCTATTCACTCACTCACTACCCTATTCACTCACTCACTACCCTATTCACTCACTCACTACCCTATTTACTCACTCACTACCCTATTCACTCACTCACTACCCTATTTACTCACTCACTACCCTATTTACTCACTCACTACCCTATTCACTCACTCATTACCCTATTCACTCACTCACTACCCTATTTACTCACTCACTACCCTATTCACTCACTCACTACTCTATTCACTCACTCATTACCCTATTCACTCACTCACTAACCTATTCACTCACTCACTACCCTATTCACTCACTCACTACCCTATTCACTCACTCACTACCCTATTCACTCACTCATTACCCTATTCACTCACTCACTACCCTATTCACTCACTCACTACCCTATTCACTCACTCATTACCCTATTCACTCACTCACTACCCTATTCACTCACTCACTACCCTATTTACTCACTCACTACCCTATTCACTCACTCACTACCCTATTCACTCACTCACTACCCTATTCACTCACTCACTACCCTATTCACTCACTCACTACCCTATTCACTCACTCACTACCCTATTCACTCACTCACTACCCTATTCACTCACTCACTACCCTATTCACTCACTCACTACCCTATTTACTCACTCACTACCCTATTCACTCACTCACTACCCTATTCACTCACTCACTACCCTATTCACTCACTCACTACCCTATTCACTCACTCACTACCCTATTCACTCACTCACTACCCTATTCACTCACTGACCCAGTCTCTACCTGTCCTATCCACTCCGTTACACACCTTCATTTTTCTTTTCAACAGCGACAATTCAGATTCCTACCAGGAACCGGCGGAGACGGGCAGTGGTGGGGAATATAAATGCGACGAATGCCCTAAGTCTTTTCAGTGGAAAGCCAACCTCCAGAGACACCAGGTGAGTTATGGCAGAGTCTATTTGAGTGAATAGAACGGATGATTATGACATCGTTAGAATGTACAGTGGATTGATTACTTTGTGACCTTTCTTTACGGTGATGAATATATATTTTGATTAAGATGACCAGGAACGAACAACCCCCAAACAATCAGTTAGTATAGTTACCTTAAAAAAAGACTGCTGGCCAGATTGTCTCATTTTACTTAGGTAAATCTCTAGAATTGTCGCACATAATAAAAAATATGTGTATAGGTTGGGAAAACTAACAACAGCCAGAGGAATTTAAAAATCAAAGAATAAATATTTGTTCCTGGAAGCCACAGAGCAAAAGAAATAGAGTGATACAACACATTCGAGGAATGAGAATTGAAAGCCAGGGTGAAAAAGGAAAAAAAAAAGGGGGGGGTGGGGAGAGAGCTGTAGGAAATGGCAAGTGATGGTAAGTGGTGCAAGAATAGAATACATTCAACCACGGAAGTTCAAGCTCAGGAAGTAGTAGAAGATATGTGTGCCTCTTACTGACTGAAACTACTGCTGCTTCTGTTACTGCTACAACTACTATTACTGCTGCTGCTGCTACTACTACTAGTACTGTTACTCTGCTACTACTGCTGCTGCTTCCGCTGCTGCTGCTGCTGCTACTACTACTACTATTAGTAGTACTACTATTAGTAGTACTACTATTTACTATTAGTAGTACTACTATTAGTAGTACTACTATTACTGCTGCTGCTACTACTAGTAGTACTGCTGCTGCTGCTGCTGCTACCACTACTATTGTTACTACTATTATTAATACTGCTACTATTACTGTTACTCTGCTACTACTGCTGCTGCTTCCGCTGCTGCTGCTGCTGCTACTACTACTACTACTATTACTACTACTACCATTACTGATGCTGCTGCTACTACTAGTAGTACTGCTGCTGCTACCACTACTATTACTACTACTATTATTATTACTGCTGCTACTGTTGTAACTACTATTATTTATCTAATGAACTTTGATACATATTCCCACTATGGTAGCTGTGTCCTATTTCCATCTCCCGAGGTTTTCTATTTATGCGTTATAGTTTTTATGTATCCCATGTATGACACCTTATGGGGAACGTTGCTCCCATCGCAACCCTCCTGAAAGCCTCTCAGTTGCCCATCATTCTTCTTCGCCATCTATTGCTGTTGTCGACCGCTGCCTCTTCTTCAAGGAACACTGCTTTGGACCATTTTTCTGTCCAGGACACTGTGGCGTCTCATTTGGCCAGCGATTTTCCACTATCAAAACATTTTGGCTTGTAATTTGGCCAGCGATTTTCCACTATCAAAACATTTTGGCTTGTAATTTGGCCAGCGATTTTCCACTATCAAAACATTTTGGCTTGTAATTTGGCCAGCGATTTTCCACTATCAAAACATTTTGGCTTGTAATTTGGCCAGCGATTTTCCATTATCAAAACATTTTGGCTTGAAATTTGGCCAGCGATTTTCCATTATCAAAACATTTTGGCTTGTAATTTGGCCAGCGATTTTCACTTCCTGAGAGATGACACAGTTTATCTGCCAGTTTTCTTTTGTGTTGGCAACCTGAAGAACATCTTTCTTTCTCCATTTCTTCACCCAGGGTATTCTAAAGATTGGCAAAGTCAGCTTCACTTTTTTTTGGGAAAAGGGGGGGGGGGGGGGGGGGGACATGACTCTCACCTGTTAAGTAAGCTGCCACAAGAAAACTGAATGATTTCGATATGTTTCTTGACTTATGTGGATGGTGCCATTGATTTCTCCTGCTGTTGAATATCCGTTCATTGCTATGGCCAGTCTTCTAACTTTCGTTAAACTATTTTAGGTCTTTTCATTTTAGTTCACCCCATTTCAGGAAAACCAACAGTTCCCAGGGAAAGTCCGCTATTATAGGCTTTTACGGTGTGAAATGAGCCCCGACTAACTATAACCCTGATTTATGATGTGTGACTTTCCCTGGAAACTCTCGTATTTCCCGAGATGGGGTGAACTAAAATAATTGCACACCGTTTTCATTGCCGGTAATTATGGAACCGAGGTACTGATGCTAAATGGTGCGCATATGAATGAGCTTTAATGAACGATTCCCGCAGAAAGTTTACAAAGAAAGTTAAACAATACATCACATAACGGTCAAGGGCATCTGTTGTACATTTGTAGACATAGTTTATTTTAGAAAGGTAGGCATTGCAACCAAAGTGCCACTGGGTAGAGCACGGGTTGTCGACCGTGCGTATTTGTTGCAAATGTAAAGTGCGTATTTACACAGAAATCATAGATCTGTTACAACACTTTTATTCACTAAGATAAACACATGTGTACAATTACTCGTAAAACGTCAACCCAAACGAGAAGAAGAACTTGTAGGACTCCTAATAAAGCACAGTCATGAATGACAAAATAAACGTTGCGGTCAATAATCCTTCATCAGCATGCACAAGAATGGACGATGATTAATATGTAGCAATACGACATGAAAAAAACATAACTTTCTAAAGACTGAAGCCACGGGTGGTCAAAATATTTTATTACGCCTAATATATATATATATATATATATATATATATATATATATATATATATATATATATATATATATATATATATATATATATATATATACACCGAAAGTCTATTGAAGATATAAATAACAATATTTAAAAAAGAAAAATAAATTCAGTCAGGGTATAAACAGAAAGTTGTCAATAATTGTGACTCCCTGAAACCATGTGACCAACGCTAACTGGCTCGCACTGTGTCGTTCACTATAGCTCACTCACGATGCTGATCGGAAGTTCCCTTGCGAAAACTGCGACAAGGTTTTTACTGACCCAAGTAACCTGCAACGTCATATCCGTTCCCAGCATGTCGGCGCCCGCAGTCACGCCTGCACCGAGTGTGGCAAGACGTTCGCCACCTCCAGCGGACTCAAGCAGCATCAACACATCCACAGCAGCATCAAGCCGTTCCAGTGCGAGGTAATGTAGCCACAACCCACATCTGTGATGTTTTTTTGTATCGATCTGAGTGAAGGCACCCACATCTGTGATGTTTTGTGTATCTGTCTGAGTGAATGCACCTATATCTGTGATGTTTTGTATTGATTTGAGTGAAGGTACCCACATCTGTGATGTTTTGTATCGATCTGAGTGAAGGCACCCACATCTGTGATGTTTTCAGTATCTATCTGGGTGAAAGTAGCCGCAGCTGTGATGTTTTGTGTCGATCTGAGTGAAGGTAGCCACATCTGTTATGTTTTGTATATCTGTCTGAGGAATCTGTGATGTTTTATGTATCGATCTAAGTGAAGGTACCCACATCTGTGATGTTTTGTGTATCTGTCTGAGTGAAGGCACCTATATCTGTGATGTTTTGTATTGATTTGAGTAAAGGTACCCACATCTTTGATGTTTTGTATCCACCTGAGGAAAGCCACCCACATTTGTGTTGTACCCACATCTTTTATACATCCATAACCAACATCTTTGTTGTACCCAGAATCCACATCTTTGATGCACACGCAACCCATATCTTCGAACCGACATCTATGATATCTTAGGTGTTACTCTGTGGCATTCTGAGTCAAAACCCACAACCCATCTATCTGAAGTAGCCTCTTCATTGCTCCTCCTTTTTTGTTAAGCGGCTGTAAGCTTTGGCGGAAAGTCCTGGTTTTCGTACATTTGAATTGTGGCTTTGTGTACATCTGTTTCACGGACTTGGTTTTTTACTTGCCCCTCGGGAAGATGCACTCGACTTCAAAGGAAGCTCCCAGTTAGTCGACTCCTACGACATGCTTGTTGGGGAGGCAATAGTCTATTCTTGTTTTCTCCACAATGGGGACCCAGAACCCACACAGGGCTGATGTACCCGAAGTCCATATCTTTCATGTATATATGATATACCCACAATCCACAGCTTTGATATAACCCACACCCACATTGTTAAACACCACAACACGATTCTTTGATGTACGAACAACCCACACCTTCGGGTGTTCCCTTTTTGACCTCTGAAGCTGAATAAATGAATCTCATTGGTTTCTATGGAAATGGTCAAGTGGGTTGCTGAAGTGACCACGGTGCCCTGTGCCTTTCAGTCTAAGCACCTAGGCAAATTTACAGCTGGTTTTATTCAATGTTTCTTCAGTAGTAGCAGTCAAATACACCACTGTCGGCTTGCTAGGTCTGTCGCGTGGCAGGGCAGGCAAAAATCTGACCTGGTTGGTGCCCGTCTCCTTCCAGGCGAGCCATTGAACCCTTAATCCACGAGGACATGGGGGTTGAGCTGAGTGCTGTACGGGTCTTTGGCGGGCTACTGAAATTTCATCTCTCCAAAGAGAAGATAGCCAACCTTAAAGCTGCTTGCTGCAGTGCCGAACGCCCCATCACACCCATACACGCCCTCGCCTTGTTATTAGACATATATGAGACTTTTTACAGTTAAACGTTTGGATGGAAGACTAGAGGAAGACCAAGAAAGAGATGGATAAATGTTGTAGCTGAAACCTTCAAAAAGATGAACAAATCAATCACTTAAGCCACCCAAGAAGCGCAAATAATTAATTCCTTACGTCCTTCTTAGGACGTTATTTTTTGTTATTTGAAGCCTCACTCTGGCTTTTGCCAGGGGCCGCAATATAGGCAGGTCATCAATATGGCCAAATGTCTGAACGCGGTTTCTGGGACCTCTCCACGGTGATCCTCATCCGCATGGTGGCACTTTGTGTCATTGGGTGTTTATCGCTTGTGTGATGTCCTGGTGGGGTAAAAAAGCCAAGCCAAGCCAAGAAGCGCAAGACACATACAGAAAACCACGTCACTGGATTACAACCTGGTATCAGTGAGACGACAAAATAAAAATAAATTAGGTTATTGCTTCCATTATTTAGTTATTTTATCAGAGTTTATAAACATTGAAATTTCATGCGAATGTTGTGTCTTGACCTCCAGGTGTGTCTGAAGGCTTACACTCAGTTCTCCAACCTGTGCAGACACAAGCGGATGCATGCAGACTGCAGGCAACAGATCAAATGTAAGGATTGTGGACAGGCTTTCTCTACTGTCACCTCACTCAGCAAGCACAAGCGTTTCTGCGAAGGCGTCATGCGTAACGGCATGAGATCTATCTACCCTTCAGAGAAGCTCTCTCCCATGTCGATGTCTTCAAACGGCCAAGCGCCACATCTCAATCCTTCATTATATCCAAGCATTTACGCCGCTGCTGCCGCCGCAGCCGCTGCCCGTCCTCAATTTCCCTTTTCTCCATACCCTCATTTTGGCACTTTCGCGGGTCTGTTGCCTCAAGGACTTCCTACAATGCTGGGAGCTTCAACAGTTTCTCCCTCGTCTGCTCTGAAACTTGCGGCCAGCATGCAACATCTCTCTCCAGACCGGAAGCTCCACTTGTCACCTGATGCCGGAAGCGTAGCCTCCAAGGCGTCATGCTTCTCTTCTCCCTTCAGAATGGATTCCAGGCTGAAGCTTGAAACTGAATCTTCCGCGATGTCTGATGCGGATCTTTCAGACGATAGTAGCGAATGCGAGCTGGATATAAGCAAATTGTCCGAGGATGAACTCGAGTGTTCAACGCCGCTGAGAAGAAAGCTTGACGGGGCTCGTGCAAACCAGACATCGGAGAGTGAAGAAACTCCCGTTCAAGTGTCTAGAATGGAAGAATCTCCCTCACCGAAATATGAGAAACCCGTTAGGGGAAACAGTATCGCACCTCCAGGTTTTACCCAGTTCAGGCCCCAGTCACCCATAGTTTCATCTGTTGCGGGTTCTAATACCTCGCAATTGTCGCCATCCTTTTCACATAAGCACGATGACCCTTACGATCTCTCCCGCCAGGCCACCAAACCGGAGGTGATTCAGAATGGTAAAACGTCTACAAGGGAGACGGAAAAAGAAGTTGGAAAGTCCAGCCCCAAAGACGACGTCCCTCTTGACCTCAGCAAGAAGCTAGTCAAGCCAGTCCCCATCCACCCAACTGAAACCCCAAGAAAAACCCATATATATGGTGACATCGCATCGTCACCTACGCTGCCTGCATCCTCGCACACATCCTCATCACCAGCTACATCGTCTGTATCTCATCTTGCAACCGCGACATCCATGTCTATACAGTCAGTCGCCATCCCAGATCCCAAATCCAGCGTCATTAGTCCTTTCAGCTACCCGTTCAGTCCGATCATGATGGAATCCCTTTTACGGATCAAGGAAGACATGAAACTGCAACAGGAAGCTGCAGCCAAGTTTTCATCCTCTTTCACTCGCTTCCCCATGCCTGGTCCGACTGCTTTCCCCGGTCTCCACCCCCATCAGTTCAGCATGATGCCTCGACATGACTTCGACAAAGTCCTGTCCCCAATGATGAAACTGGATAAATCTGGCGAATTCCCCAACCATCACAACCAACATCACCCATCTCACAGCCATCACCAACACCACTTTGGCCCTGGAGCTCCTGGCAAGTCAAAAGAAAGATATTCCTGCAAGTTTTGTGGGAAAGTATTTCCGCGCTCCGCGAACTTGACCCGACATCTGCGGACTCACACGGGGGAACAACCGTATAAGTGCAAATACTGCGAACGGTCCTTCAGTATCTCCTCCAACTTACAACGGCACGTGAGAAACATTCACAACAAGGAGAAGCCGTTCAAATGTCAACTCTGTGATCGCTGCTTCGGACAGCAGACCAACCTGGACAGGCATCTTAAAAAACATGAACAAGAAGGACCTAATGTTGTAGACTCCCCGACCGCAGAGCTCGAAGACAAGGACGATGCGTATTTTTCCGAAATCAGCAACTTTATTGGTAGCAATGGCAAAGATCCTGTTAATAACAGTGTTGGGGATGTTGAGGATGAGGAGGAGGGGTCTGAGGAGTCTGCTGTGGTTAAAGATGACGCTTAAGTTGTACTTCAATCAATTGTCCCATCGGCGTATGGGGCTTACGGGTTGACAACGCGCTTCATATTTCCGAGATGCCCGGTTCGGTTCCAGATACGGACGGTTTGATAGTATACTTTTTTTGCGTTGATTTCAACGACATGGAGCGCCGACCGTTCGGTGAGCAATGGCAAACTACTGAACGTAAATTGCTTAGTGAAACCACAAAACAGATTTTTTAAATTCTGAATGCCGGAGCTGGTTCAGCAGCGTCGTATGGAGGATTCGCAATTACCTGTATCATGTGCCCTATGTACCCATCATACCATTCTGACATTATTATGAATGATTTTGTAATATGTTATTTCCTTGTATTCATCTTTGTACACAGTTTATGTTATAAACCACATCTGATCACGCCTTCCGCAATTTGGAATTATTAAGCCACAACATGATTATTATTTTGTGAATTCTGATTGTATTTGTGTACACAATCCCGTAATGTACAGATTATTTCAACATTTGCCCAAATCATTGTGAATATTAATACAAATTATTTCTATTATTATTATTGTACATACTTGCTCAGTGATCTGTAATTATATCCTTTTATTATAACCCCTAGTGACATTGTGTAAGATCGTGAGCTAGCCTAATTCAGTTCATTTTTTTTTTAAATTAAATATAACAAGGTTTGTCACATATGTTAGTCGATTATTTCAAGTCGAATTTGACACCGGCTGGGAATTAAGCCAACTGTACTGATCCATCTTTAACCCCTCCCACCCATTCACCCTTTCCTCCAAGTGGTCTTGTTTCGATTTGACTTGAGAATAATGTCTTTGATTTACCCAGCAGTTGCTACATCTTCTATGGGTTGCCATCTTTTGCTGACAGTTGATTTCATCTTTTGACCAATAAATACCCAAAATACGATCTCCGCCACTTCAGCAACTACTGCCATCCCTCCTGATGCTGCTGCTGCGTCTGCTACCACAGCTCTTACTGCTGCAACTACAACAAACTACTGCCAATCCTCCTGATGCTGCTGCTGCGTCTGCTACCACCGCTCTTACTGCTGCAACTACAACAAACTACTGCCAACCCTCCTGATGCTGCTGCTGCGTCTACTACCACCGCTCTTACTACTGCAACTACAACAAACTACTGCCAACCCTCCTGATGCTGCTGCTGCGTCTACTACCACCGCTCTTACTACTGTAGCTACAAAAAACTACTGCTACCACCTCTATTGCTACTGCTGGGATTACTACAACTGCTGCTACTACTGTAACTTCTACTGCTTTTATCATTACACCTCTGCTACTACTACTACTACTACTACTACTACTACTACTACTACTACTACTACTACTACTACTACTACTACTACTACTACTACTGCTACTACTGTTGCTGCTGCTGCTGCTACTACTGATGCTGCAGCAACTACTACTACTGCTGCTACTTCTGCTGCCTGCTGCTGCTACTACTACTACTGTTGCTACTACTACTGTAACTTCTACAGCTTTTATCATTACACCTCTGCTACTACTACTGCTGCTGCTACTACTACTGTTGCTGCTGCTGCTACTACTACTACTACTGATGCTGCGGCTACTACTACTACTGCTGCTACTTCTGCTGCCTGCTGCTACTACTACTACTACTGCTGCTACTACTACTGTGACTACTCTGCTGCTACTACTACTGTGACTACTCTGCTGCTACTACTACTACTATGACTACTACTGTTGCTACTACTACTACTATGACTACTTGTGCTGCTATTGCTAATACTGCTGCTGTCATCAGCATAGTTATTATGATTAGTAGCATTATCATTACATATAGAATCTATAATATTTGGGCCACTGAATTAATCAAACATTTTATTTTGGGACATTTCTGGAGTTGTTGATGCCACAGCTACCACCACTGACACCATCACTACTGAACAGAATACTGACTCTAACAAATCGAGCCAACGTTAAAGTCACCTATAGACAGGTACACTGAAAACCATCATTAAAGTGACGTAGCCAGGAAAAAAAAAAGGAAGAACAAACTCTAACAAAACACTCCTCTAAAATGCCAAGTACAACAGATAAAACTAGCTTCCTCACTTACGATGATTTCCGCTTTTTTCTGCTGTTCAAGTTTTTAAACGCTCCACGAAGCTGATGAAAACTTTGATTCCGCATTTGTTCGGCAGTTTCGTTTCCTATCGAAAGATGATGCTCATTTTGTTTCTGGCTTCCTCGTAACAATTCATTCCATTTTTTGACAATTCTTACCCTGCATATTTTATACATTGTTGTTTCAAACCAATTTGATTAGTTTTATCTGTGGGACCACATGTTATCGTTTTCATTGCTAGTTAAACTGGTTAATTTCGTCTTTATTGATTGATTTCCGAATGAAGTGTTTGCTGAATTCGGGCTTCCGTCATTTTTATGTAACACACCAGGCCTGTAACAGTAAGCTGCCATTTTCTCGGAAGTAAAACAGTCTGGAATCTGTATTGAGTCAATGGCTGCCAGTCATGGACAACTAACACACTTGAAACTGTTATTTCATTAATCGTATATCTCCCTGTTTTTTTAGCTGGATTCGTGAGTTGTTGGGTGAATTTCAAACCCAGCAGGACCACACTCAGAGCAATAAACACACAGTGCCACCATTCGGATGAGAATCACACGGGCACAAGTCCCAGACACCCTATTCAACCTTTAGCTTATACCAAGCCACTCGACATAAGTCGGGATGGAGCTTTGAAAGAACACACACACACAAAATTGCGTCCCAGTTTGAGGCGTAAAACATAAGTGGTTTTAAAAAGAAAAGGTCATTAATGTATTTGTAGTATTGTCATTTTGTTATTATTGACAAACAGTTATGTTCCCCGCTGTTGTCGTTTGACAGAGCTTCTAATGAACTTCATTGTTGTCAAACTGTAGATGTGTTGATGAAATCATAATATAATTAAAACTAAGCTTGTAAACTGCACTGTCTATCTATTGCAGTACAAATGTAAAAAAAAAAAAATATTATCTCCCCCTCGCAACATTCTAGTATAAATTCAATAGCATTACCTCCCCTGGCGTAATATTCTACTGATAGGTCAATAGCATTGTGTCCCCTTAAATAACATTTTAATGTGGGTTAAATAGCTGTGCCTCCCCTGAAATAACATTATAATGTGGGTTAAATTGCATTGCCTCCCCTTAAATAACATTCTAATGTGGGTTAAATAGCATTGCCTTCCCTTAATTAACATTCTATTGTGGGTTATATAGCATTGCCTCCCCTTGATAACATTTCTTGTCTGAGCTCACTAGCATTCCCTTTTAAAAGAAATATTTTTTGTCAGCTCATTTGCATTGCCTCCCCTTAAAAAACATTCTATTGTCAGCTCATTTGTATTACCATTGACTGTCAAAAGTGTTGCAGTGTGGACAAAGTCTGCCCATCACTGGCACGTTAACTAGGCACAGACAGTCTGTTTGTCTAGCGCTCCCCCACGTCGCCTTGATGTGGAATCGAACGTCTGCCTAACAGGTGGCCAGGCAGACGGCCATTTGCTGTATTCATACAGCTTCTTCTGTGGTTGTTTGTTTGTTTGTTTTAGTATCCAGAAGCCATGAGTTGTTAACCCTTAGGCTCGGTATTATGGATATCGCAACCCTTCGGCCTTGATTCCATGATAAATACTGTAAATCTGGGAGAAATGTGGCTGTTCTGCTTACCCCCCGGGAGTGAACCCGGACCACAAGAAGTTCTTCACCCTTTAGCCTCGAAATCTGGTTTAGCCAACTACGCTAGAGAGCCGGGCTCTTCTGGGGTTTATACGGGCTGTCGTGCGGGAGTCCTGGGTTTGACCCCCCCCCCCCCCCGTAAAGTGATGTTTGTCTAACCTGCATAATCCATGGCGAGAGCACTAGCCATACGGCCCTAAAAGGTCAGGCTCACACCCCGCACCTCCTGTCTACACCGCCCCACAAGTGGTACATAGTGTAGTGTTATGTTTTACAACTTGGCTGCGATATTTTCTCCCTTTTCGGCCCAACGCATCCGATTTCATCAAATTTCTAATTGCTCGTTTGTTACCATGTGCTTGTTAGGGGGGACCGATTTGTTCCTCACATGCTGCTGGCTCAAGGGTTACCGTACAATGGACGACAGACCAACAAGGAAGATCTCAGTTCCCAGTTTAACCTCCACAGAAGTTAACATTAGGGCACGTTAAACAGCTACCCCAACCAGGTCAAACCTAGGGCTCTATGTCGGTGATTGGGATGTAAGTGACAAATTATGTTAGTCCAATAAAGCCTGGAAACCCACACAGGAAATTTAAGCCACAATTTGTTGATAACAGTTTCCCAATATAATTCTTCTGTTGTCCAAATCTGCTTGTGCCGCTAGGCGTCGCAGTCTATCAGATGATCGGCAACCGAACCAGGGCGCGCTCAGTCGCTTTATATGATATAATTATTTATATAAATAAAAACAAAAACTGCTCTGCAGTAACTATCAATTATTGTGCATTTATATTAATGACCAAATGATGAATTGATGAATGTGTTCAGACATCATCCACAACTACTGCCGCATCCATTATGTTGTACATCATCTTGTTGTTATCTCCCCTTCATTGATTCATATTTTTTGTAATTAGCCCTGTCCTTAGCCAGTGCAAAAATATATAGTTTTTCAAATGTATACTTTATTTTATAATGCGTGGAGGGAATTTATACTATTTCTATACTTATGCTTATTTATGTTTTCCTGTTTGTTCAAGATAGGACGTGTATATTTATTCAATTTGAATTATGTTATAAATATCGTTATCATTTTAAGAAATAAAGATTGAATGATTTAGATAAGACTGGGCGTTTTTGGCTTAATCTCTTCTTTTACAACAGTCCATCCATCTATCTATCCATCTATCCATTCATCCAAGCAGGTATTCCCGCATACATCGCTCTGTCTGTCTGCCAGGTTTGTCTTCCTTGTTTGTCTGT